AATGCTTTTGAAAGTCAGTTGCATAATGTTAGCATAAATTTAGGTATTTTTGCATAACGAAACTCAAAAGCATAAAAGCGAACTAGCGCCAAGATTAATATATATATATTTTTTTTCCCTTTGAGAACATACAGACTCCCCGTGCACCACACATGTACAACACGGGGCTTACAGAAGTAAGTTAACTAGAATATTAAAGGTTACATGTATAAATAAACATTAAAAATTACATGCATAAATAAAGCGAACAAAAGCATTAATATATATTGGCGAGAGAAAGCGAAGGTCAGGGACATTCGATTCTCACTTTAGCTACTTGAACCTGGCCAAAAGTCTAACTCAGTTAGTGCTTTCTCTTTTAAGTACTGTGTAAAGCAGGGATGTCAAACTCATAGGTACACTTGGGCCAAACAAACAAGGTTTAACTTTAGGCGGGCAGAAAAAAAAAAAAAAAAAAAAAAAATCAATATTCATAGAAACGTAGATTTATTTCGAATAATACAATAATAAACATATATATATATATTTATATAGAAAAGAACAAGAAAAATTTAATGTTTACGTCCTGATACTTGACATCTCTTCTCTGCTAATTATCTTTCCTATTTCGGGAGAAATTTTGTTTGCAGTGATAACTTTCAACGCTGACCCAAGGTGAGCATCATTAATACGGTTTCTAATAGGAGACTTATTACCTTTCATGACTGATAAGTGCTACCAAACATGGAAATAATTTCATATGCGAATTTTCGAGTATTTTCAATCCTGGCTGGTAAATATTTGTAAAATTCAGGCACGCCCACTTCAATGAATTTTGCTTTCAAATTTGAGTTGCATTGAATCTCGATCACCTCCATTTGCATATGGCTGGGTGCTGAGTCAATACTTATTGAGAAAATCGAAGAAAACAAAACAAAAAAAAAAATTGTCTTCGAGAGAACTAAAATCATTAAACCTCGTTTCAAATTCAGTTGTTAAATTTGCAATTTTTTTCTGCGTATTTTTGATACGAACAACTATCATCTAAACTTGATTTGTTCATGCTGCACGTCGGGAAGTGCGTCAAATCTTCATTTTTAAGTTGTTTTTCCCAAAGAACTAGTTGACATTTGAATGCTTTAATTATGTCAAACATGTTCGTAATGATATGATCTTTTCCTTGTAACGATAAATTTAAATCGGTTAAGTGTTTTGGTTATATCAACCAAGAAAGATAAATCTTGTATCCATATTGGATCGTAAAACAAACTTACGTCTTGATTTTTCGTTTTTAAAAACTGACATATTTCTTCTTTCAAATCCCAGAATTGTTTGAGAATCTTGGAGCAAGATAACCAACGTACCTCGGTATAGTAGGACAAACCCGAATATTCACTATCTAACTCGCTTAAGAAAGCAGTGAATTGACGCTGATTTAAACCTCGAGATCTTATAAATTTTATAACTTTTTTTATATATGACAAAACATTCTCCATATTTATTACTTTCGTGCATAGAACTTGATGTATAATACAATGCATATGATGAATGTTTGAACCGTGAATTTCACTAAGTTTTTTTCTTAGTAATGCTACGAAGCCCTTGTTTTTCCCGGTCAATGATGGAGCGCCATCTGTAGCTACAGAATTTAATTTTGCCAAAGGTAGATTGTATTTCTGCAGAAGTCCAAAAACACAAGTAAATATATCTTCTCCTGTGGTAGTACCAGGCATCGGTATTAGTTCCAGTAATTCCTCAAAAATATTAAAATTTTTGTCGCAAGAACGAAGAAACACTGCTAATTGACCTTTGCCACTAATGTCCGTGCTCTCGTCACAGGCAATGGAGAAACTTTCGAAACTAGATGATTTTGCTTTGATCTGATCACTTAAATTCGCGGCTAAATCAGTAACTCTTTCCGCAACTGTATTTCGAGACAGTGAAATTGATTGAAATACTTTCACATTTCCAGGACAAACAATTTCTCCAGCTTTCATTAGGCATTCCTTGATGAAATCACCGTCAGTAAAAGGCTTCGAATGTTTAGCTATCAACTCGGACAAGACGTAGCTTGCATGTACCGCCGTTTCACTTTCTTGCAATACTTTACTAAACATGGACTGTTGCTTTTTCACTCCTAACTTGAGCTTTTTCAACTTTTCTTCTCTCATTAATCCTTCGTAATTATTATATTTCGATTTGCGTTGTTCGTAATGACGTTTAATATTATATAACTTTGGTACATTAATAGTATTATTACATATCAAGCAGATTATTTTATCTTTTATTTCACAGCAAAAATATTCTAATTCCCATTTTACTTGGAATATTTTATGTTCGTCAGCGATTTTTCGTTTAATTTTACTACCACTTGGTTTTGATATAGACATACTGAATACAAAGGGCTGGAATAAACACGGTTAACGTCAAAAAGTTAACAAAAATTTATTCTTTCCACAAGAGATAAATCAAAATGCTGAAATATTTCTTCAAAAATATTCTAACAATATCACAAAATGTCAAACGTTTAGCAAAAATCAATTCAAAACAGAGAAACTAATTCTATCTCACAGCGAAATCGCTACAAATCTACAGCATTAAGTAAACAAACAGTTCGCTAGAACTACAGCTACTACTGAGATGAGTTGTTTGTTCTCGCCTTTTATAAGCTTTATAATTAATTTCTCGAATATACCGGAAACATCTATAAATATCTGGATTTTTGTGGATGGCAACAGCAATTACGAGATATTTATTTATTAGGTGTTAAATGCACGCGCTGTTCTATTTTTAACCTTCCAACGCAGCTGTCTTTTCAAAAATCGTCTGCGTTGCTAAGGCAACATGAAGCAAATCTAATTACAATTCTAAATAAAAAAACTAAATAAATAAATAACTATGAAATCCGTAACAATATGAATTAAGTAATAATTAATAATAAAGCAAAGTGCATGCACCAATATATCGTACAAAACTATGATTGGAAAACTGAGACCATGAGTTCGACTACATTCGGCTATCGGAGAATGCGTACAAGTTCTGAGTGCACGTGTCCCCCAAAAGCCGAAGGTAGCTGAACGCAAGCTACTCACACGCATTTGTAATTTAAGTAGTGTGTGTGTCAGCTCGTTGTGAGTAATCTAACAACACTGAATAAATTATCGTTAATTACTTAGCAGTAAACATTTCATTTTTTTCTTCGTCGATATGTTATTTTATTATTATATATTATTATTTGCCGATATATTGGCCGGGCCGCAAAAATATTTGTTGTGGGCCGCAAGCGGGCCGCGGGCCGCGAGTTTGACATCCTTGGTGTAAAGGTATGTTCGTGTTTCTCTTTTTTTTTTTTTTTGCCTAAATAGGTAAGCCTGATAATTTAGGATTGATGATGATTCTATGTAAGTTATTCTTTTAATACTTCATTTTTCAATGTCTGTGAAGATTACTTTTAATTGGTGTTCTACGTAAGTTAAGCAAAATTCTCATACTCGTTAAATAAAGATTCCGTAGTTATTTTAACTCATTCTTTGATTAAAACTGCTCTAAATAGAGGAAACGTACTCGTACACAATACAACACATAATGAATTTGCCCCCCCCTTCCCCGCTTCAGACTGAGCAGTGAAGTAACTGATAGCTGGTGTTTAGACTCAAGCTTCAATCTGGCGAACAGGCTAAACGCGTAGGTTCTTTATTGGTTTTACCCATGTCATGTGTAACACAAATATGATTCAGTTTACCTTAAAAAAAAAATCTGCCACCAAGACAACTCTTATATTTAGCAGATAATCCTCGAGTGCTTTTTTGTAATCTATGTAATCCAGTCCATAATGAATTTATATATATTCGAATTCATACAGATAAGAGAAAACTCGGTACATTTTTCGTGTTCTTAGCTCCAAGAAAAAATATTGTTTTTAAATCATTCAAAACACAATTTTTTTTTAAATATCTCAAAGCAATTAAGGATACTAAAAGTTAATTATTTTTCTTTTGTTATTGCATCATTTCCTGATAACAGTGATTGTCATGCATCTCAATTTCAAATTTCAATTTTTAATGTGAAACTTAGTTTCAAAGTTTTATCAGCAACAAGGAAAGAAAATTTCTACAATTTCCTGTTTGTTAAAACTGGTCTTTTTCACTTACTCAAAACTCAAAAAGGTAATAAGAAAATCAATTTAATGATATATTAAAATAATTTAATGTTTTAATTCTTTAATACTGCTTCGTCTGGTTAATAGTGGCAATAATATGGGTAGCAGATTTTTTAGAAAGCAGGTATTCATAAGAAATCTTTAATACAGTTAAAGAAAGCCTATTATCAGTTTATTCTACTTACTGCAATATGATGTGTCAGCTTGCATCAATCTGGCGAACAGGCTTGCATCATATTAACAGTAAATTAAGGCATTAAAACTTGCAAGTAATGGAAGTGTCGATAGGTCTTAAAAGTTTCTTATTTTAAACTAACCAGTTGTTATGATTTGGATTTTTAATTTCATTTTTTTCATATTCCTCACCAGAATGCAAATTAGACTCTAGTATATTTAATCTGAGGTTTTTGAATCTTAAAAGCGAGAGTTCCTGGCATCTGTTTAGTAAGCTTAGATTTCTTCCAGCTCTAGCTAGTTGTTACCATCTAGGCTTTGCGCTTTCTTGCCGTCGATACTTTAAATTTACGCGTCGATAATAACTGAGCTAGTTTGTATCTTAGTATTTAATTGTTCAGTCTTAGACCACTGATCAAAGTTTTAGATCTATTTGACTGTTCTAATATAATTTGCATCACCACAAGCAGTGGGTATCTGCAGCACGAGCCGTGCTCTGTTTTGTTAAAAGTTCAGTTTAGATAAAAAGGTTGTTTAAAACCTTCCTGTGTCTTTTTCGTATTATCTTTGACATAGCGATAACTCCTTATATGTCTATTAGGGTTACATGACTAAAATTCTAGTAGCAGACAGTAACGTTACAGACATGCTTTGTTTCCATCTTCCATGCACAGAAAAATAAAAACAATTTAAAATGTATAAATTTTTATTCAATATAAATATTGAATAGTACAAAAACAACACTTACTTTACAAAAACGATACAAAAGTACATTTTTAATTTTGCAGCAAGCTACATGTTCAATAAATAAGGCACTTCACTAAGGAATTGCATTGCTGTTGGCAATTCGTCAGAACTATGAATATTTTTCTTCCTCGGCTATGTTACAAGTAAACTATAAATGTGCGCAGAAATACCATATTTTGATCCCAGCCTAATTCGAATTTCTTCATATGTATATATTCTTAGTTCACGTCTAGGTACATTTTCAATAAATAAGGCACTTCATTTAGGTGTTTTGCACTTTTCAATATTCGTCAAAAATTTGAAAATATTTCTCTTCCGTCTATGTTTTATGTAAATTACAATGTGCTTGAGAATATTAAATTTTGAACACAGCCTCTTTCGAAGCTCTTCATATATTAAATTATCTTGAACTGTCCGTAAAATTTTCTCAGGTCCCCCAAGCTAAAGTGGGCCAGAGGTAATATCTAGTTTCTATTCTATAACGAAATCACTGCATGGAAATCGCAGGTCAAACAGTGGATATGCTGTTAATAATCTTGCTATCATAGAAAATTATTAATTATTAAGAAGTAAATTGTTTTTAAATAGCTTTTGGTTTCATAAATATGCAATGTATTAGAGTAATTATTTACTGCAGCTGTGATGTACAAATGATGTACCTTGTGTATTTGCAGCAGCATCTTTTTCTGCCCTGATAATATTTTCTACGCGAAATAAAAATAATAATATTTAGTTGTCAAAAATCAGCTTAATATACATTTTAAATGAAAGAAAAGAGTTTTCCCTTCCAGCAGGGACTCTTCGATGCTGTTGGGTCAATTACTTTTTATGTATTACTAATTTCAGAAATATACAGCAAGGAAAATGTTCATAATATCAGAACTTATAAAAATTTTCACACTACTCTAGATATATGACATGAAAAGCAAATTTTAAAGACATTCTGTTTAGTTATATTATATGAACCACGTTTCTTTCACTGAGCAACTAAATTTTTAAAAGTTTGATTTCAGAAAACGCACAGAATAAGCAGTCTGCTCAAGATTTTTTTTCACTCACTTTTTTTCATAAATAGAATTTTAGCCACTTCAGCTCATTAAATTCTTTGATAAACTGCAGAAACTAAAAATTGTGTATTTATTAATTGCATTTTTTCCTCTCCTCATGCTAAATTTAATTCTCTATAAGCCTGCATCAACGTGGAAAGACATTCACGTACTATAATGTTCACTATATCAATGTTGAATTGTATAAAATTATCATTATTTAGTTATAACATTTACAAGGGGAAATTTAAATTTTGATCTGCATTTAAGTCGAAAACTATAGTGGTTTTTCTAAACCATTATTTTTCCTAGCGTAAATAATTTATTTTAAGGAATTTTAGTAGTTTTTAAAAACAGAATATACAATATTACATATTCTTTGTAAACAATGGCCTTTGTTCTAGAAATATAACGTAAGTTAAAGAAGTTATTTTAAGCGAAATCTTTATCAATCGGTACATTAATTTCTTTTATCCATACTATTTCTCTGAACTATTCTTCTGCTCTGATTTACCAGAAAAACGGGCTGATTTAATAAATATGACGTCAGCGACATACATGGCTGATTACATACGTGAAATAAAACCAGTCTTAAATATTAGTTTTCCTGGACCTGATTTTTTTTTCTTCTCTGTTAGATCAATGTAAATGCTGGCAGCATTTTCTTATCATTTGATCTTTCTATGTGATGCCCTTGCCGAGGTTTACAATTAACCATAAAAAGGTTGCTTCATCGTCAAGAAAGTTTTCTGTAAAGGAGTTCAACTAACAGAATGTAAGTAAATATGCTTTCCTAATAATTTAACGACTAATTCACTTTGATTTAGGATCCATTAATATTATTTTAAAAAGAAATGTGTCTAAATAACTATTAGAGTGAAAATTTATTCAATGCCCAACTTAATATATCTGCTTTATTTTTTAACTAAGTGTATCTTACAGCGATGCTAAAACGCTACAATAGCTTTTGATATCGGATATTAATATTTATTTTCCAGACTCTTGGGATACAAGTCATTGATCGAATTAAATGCTTGCTGAAAACACGCTGTTTACCCACAAGAGCTGCAGGGAATTCCTCCCAATACAAGAACATCTGAATGCAGCATTTAACTCACATATTAAAATAAAATAAGTGTGATTAGCAATATTTTAACAGGGTATAGATTGCATTTTGTGAGTTCAAAAACCAGCTTCTGAGATGAATTATAAGAAGTAATAACTTGATGAATAAGTAGTAACTTGATGAATTATAAGAAGTAATAATATGAAAACAAAACAAAATGTTAATTTTACATTATGTAAAATTTATCTTTTACTTAAATTATTAATTACGCTTAACACAGTGTGCATTTAAGGTACTTTTTGATATACAGAATATCAAAAAAAGAAGCAAACTTTATATAATTGCAAAATTATTATTTCTTGCAATACAAAAATACGTCATAAGTTACTTAATAAGTAAAACGAAAACCTTTGTATTTTTTTGCTCAGTTATTTTCAGTAGACTGTCTGAACATAATTGCTTTTATTGCTGGATAAATCAGTGTTCACACGATAATCCCGAGTTGTGATCTTAGATTTGTGGATCTCCTCATCTAAGTCCTTGAATACTTTTTCTTTGAGAATTCTTCAAAGAAATTTTGTATATCCCCCAACCACACTAAACAAGCTTTATCAAATAACTACTCTTATAGTAATTCATTTTATAACGCTAGTGGTTCTAAACTGCCTGCTAGACTTTGTCAGAAATAGAAGGAACATTTACAAAATGCCTGACAATATAAGTTTCACCTGTTTCCTATCAGGTGAAGTATAACATGTTTTTGTGTTATAAGAAGTAATTTTATAAGCTAGTAAAATTTGATGTTTTTTTTTTTTTTTTTCGAAACGCCTTGCAATGCATTTAATTAAAGTTTTCTTACGCAGATAAATTTCTCTCCCTGTAATTCCAAAGCAATGTATCCGAAATGAATACCATTTCAGGAGATTTGTTGAAAGCTAAAAGCTCTGTATCTTTCATGGATGAAAGAAACCTAATACTATTTTACTTCACGCTTTATACATAGGAAACTCAAAACTTTCATTATGTACCTCAGACTACCTAAACATAAAAAATATCACTAAAATATAAGTAATTCATTTCCCAAACACTATGATCTTTCCAATGTAATGAACTCGAAAGTGGATAAAAAATTACGAATTTCCATCTTCTTCCGCGCACATTTATGAATAGATCAATTTCTCTAGAACTGAATAGCTGTACAGTATATGAATTCAGTTTTAAGGAAGACGTTAGCATTGGCTTTAGTCGACATTCATCATTTCCGATTTCAAAACTGCAGGACAGGGAGAAAGCAGTCATGGCAAATAATTTAAGAACCGAGATATGTACACTTCATCTTGAGCAAGAAACTGCTGCCACCACCCACGCTATACAATCAGAGAAAAAGATGCCCGAACAGTTCGGTGGCAAGGAACTCCGCCTTTCCCTGAGAACACCTGTTGCAAAACCAGCAGATCAAAACTTCGTCCGATTTCTGTAATTCAGGAACCAGCCAGCACTTCGTCTGGCATCAGACGTGTTTTCTGCAAGTAGGAAGAGAATTCGCGCAAGAGGGTCACTGTACTGCCCACTGTCTGGCAGTCCCTGACAGACCTCCTTGAACAAAGAGGTTGATCGATGAGTTGTTCATTCAAGATCTGGGAAGTAGATTCTTCGAAATGGAAATCGTCGTCTTCGTCTGGTTCATCTTGCAGCGCCAAAGTGCAGAGTCGGAGGACGCACATCAGTTCGCGCATGTGAGACGCCAGGGACTTAGCACTCGTTGCTAGGTCTGCACTATTACACGTCTCGTCGGAGGAATGCTGTTGCATCTGGTCTGACATGAAGTACACGTGAGCAGTATGGTTCAGCAGCGACGTGTAGAAAGCGAGCAGCACTTCCTTGGTCTCACTGCTCTACAAAAAAATAAAAACGAGAAATATCAATAATAATATCAGGTACTTGTAATTAACATTCATTTGTTACTAATCGTAACATGAAATGGGCAGTATCCACAAGAGCATAGTTTAAACCAATAATCTTACTGACTTATGATATAGCACTTTCAGGCAACAGTTACAGTAAAATAAATTCAGGTTTAAAGAAACAAAGAGAAACATAAAGAGAGTTCAGTTCAACAAAGAGAAAAATTTAAGAAATTTGTTAATAGTTTTGTGTAGTCTCTGTTGAATAAAATGAATGGAGAAAACTTGAGAACTGTGAGGTGAACCAAAACCGATAAATAAGTTTCACTTTGAAACCAATATTCTCTGGTACGTCCAATGTAATCAAGTAGAAAATCAAATTATTTAAAAGCTGTAATTCTTATCCTAATTCCTCTCCTCTAAATGCTCATAAGTTGGAATTCATATAATTCTACATCTCGAGCTAATTTTTGAAATTTTCCATTTCATTACATGGATTACAGTAATATACACTTTGTAAATATACAAAATGTTATATCTAAGTCATTCTTACATGCATATATTATATTACCGACTTACCTCTCTATTTTAATTACTTTTATTATCAACTATATTTTTTCTAATTAATCAAGAATATTTTAATATAATTTTGCTATAATATTAGTGATTACTATGTTATTATTATATTATATCTGCATTATTATTAGAAACAATTAAAATAATGATATCACGGTGAAGACATTTAAATTTTAACGCTTACGTAACAGCATATCATATTACAGTGTTCATACATTGATATCGAAAGTTCTACATGAGTTCCTGTATTTTAACTGGTAAACCGGAATCATCCTTAAAGTCTACAACACGGATCGTGCGAAACTACAAATTGAAATTCTCTGATGAGTACAAAAAGGCCAGAGAAATAGTCAAGTATTGCATAGAAAAATAAAGCCGTACAAGCTACGATCCACGGAATCCTATGATCATTTTTTCTTTCTTTGCTTATCTGATTTCCTTAAAAATTTGCAACAATTTTTAAATAAAAGTAAAGATCTTTATCTTCAAAAATGTTTTTTAATTTCTTTTAAGTCATTGGATTTGAAAGTGACTGTCTTTAATTTTGAACTGTAAGAAACTTGTTCTGGATTCTAATTGAGAATTTTTTCGGCTGTGGAATTAAGGCTGGTAAACTGGTTGAACTTAGATTTGAAGGTGGTTTAGCCTACGACAGAGTGATTTGCGCATCCATGAAAAGAACTAACTTGATTTTCGTCGCAGAATAACTAGATAATAAGTTTGTCTTAGTAAACAGAAGGTTTTTTTTTTTTAAGGTGCATTGATTGTTTCGATAATTTTGATTACATATGTAGAATCGTTCTTGATTGAAAGAGTTATGCTGGGTATGGCCATATTGTTAACATTTAAACCCTTAAGTTTTTGTTTTTTAATAAAGTTCGTAATTTTCAACTAAAGCGTTAAAGCTGAAGATATTGTTTAGCTGAAATATTGTGTGACCTTCTGGATTGTTATTAAGTTAGAGTTCGTTTTATAAAGGATCATACTTTAATTACTGGAAATTTTCTTCGTTGTGGGTCTTCAAAAACTTCATCTTTGAATACTGACACGAGCAGACCTTTTTAAGGTTTCGGAAGTTAGTTGATAGGTGTGAAAATTTACCTTTTCGTTATGAAAATATTTCGTTGCATTTCTAAAACCGGAAACAAAGTCATGCAAACGAAAACTGATCCAGATTTTGTATGTGTCTCTTATTCTTTTTCACAATTTGTATGCAACACTTTGACGTATTCAAGCCAATCAGTTTTATCATTTGAAATCACTATACGAGGAACTTTTTAATATTTGTTAAAGTTAAGCTGGGAAGATTCAGGGTTTAGTAGATTATGATCATTGGTTAGTGGTTTGAACTCGTTATTCTGAGCTATTTCCGTTATGTTTTCGCAAGTTTTGCAGAGAGTAGTTCCCCGCCATTTGGAAGGAGGGGGGGGGGTCATTACCTGACAATTCAACATTGTTTTCTTTAAGGAGATAACGTATTCTAAAAAATCTATTGATTCTTCAGAAGCAGTGCAGGATTTATGTATCAGCTACACAAGCTTTGCTTAGAGACCCCACTTTCTTGGGGCCCCCAAAAGAAATTAAACTATAGTATAAATATAGTATAGCAGACTTATAAAGTGACCCCTATCTCAAATATCTTAAGGCCTTATCAAGTCTAAATCCGGCCCTGTTCAGAAGTAGCAGCATTCTTTCTTGCAATAGTTTCTGATGATCAAATTCTTCAAGGGTTTTTGCTTTAAACGGTTTGGGTTTAAGGGTAAAAAGGTGAACCTTTTTATCTTCAAGGTTTTTTTTAGAATCTAGATTTTGGTCCGAAGGGGTTTACGTAACAATGTTTTGAATATCATATTTTTTTAAGCAATGTGAAGACTTAAGAAAGAAATTGGAGTCGGAACAATTTGGCATTAGTTCACCGTCATTGGCATGCATATCAGCCCAAAACTGGGAAGTAGCTGGTGATTTTGGGGATATCGATGGGCAAGAAAGAATACTATCTGTTGAGCAAAGAGAACGCAGCAAAATGAAGAGCTTCTTCGACAACAAAGCAAGTGAAACCCACGAAATAATATCTACATGAGTTCGTTATATTACTTTGGGTGAGTTTAAAATTATGTTTTTAAAACTAGTCCTGCATTTACTTTCTCCGAGAATTTTATTCTTTATAATTTTAATATTAAAAATGAAATTTAAAAGCAGATTTAAAAAATGTTACTTAGTTCTTTTGTAGAATTTTAGTCAATTTTCGACAGCAAACTTGCTTTTCCACAGTTAAGCAAACATAATTCGTTTTAGTTTTGCAATTAAATTATAGATGGCAGCACTAGGCACAATTATAAGAACTGAATTTTTAACATAACTGAAGATATTACTTACAGATTCATCGTTCAACACTGTTGAACTCTCTTTTAAAATTACTTTTTTAACCAAAAATTCAAAAAAAAAAAAGAAAAAAAAAAATTAGTATACACGTTAACTTTTTCTAAAATTCAAATGTGATAAAATACAATTTAATAATTTCTGTAATTATAAAGCCCAGCTCTCATTAGAACATGCTTTTAAATAACTATTTTTTCTTGAACTCATTTTTGTTTCCCTTTGACTGATCTTTGTAGCGGGTTTCGGACCACTTATATTAAACATTTCTATATTTTGATTTCTGCTCAATTCTTAGATGCTAATTCAATTCCCGTTCTCCAAACGAGGCTATTTAAATGAAACTAACACTAAATAAAAAAAATAATAATCTTTCGTACTTTTTCTAGAATTATTTCCTCATTTCGTAAAAATTATGTTTGGGTGATATCAAAATCGTTAATGGGGATGCTACATTAAAAAGAAAAAAAAAAATATATATATATATATATGCTTCTTCTGTGAGAGCTGATTATTACATTGGAAATTCAGAGTTTAATTCTAAGATTAAGTTTATTCACACTAATTATGAAACTGGTATTTAATAGTAAAGTTCAAGGAAGCCTGGAAAATTTAATTAGATTACTTTATGGATATTTAAACTTTAACATTAAATTGCATGAAGGCATAACTAATTTTTTTAATTAAGCATATTAAAAATTGTTCTATTTAAATAATATTTAATTTTTGATTTATTTTTATATTTAATACATAAATTTTAAATAAGTTTAAAATGAACAAAAGTCAGTTTTAATTTTGCGTTAATTTAAAATGAATAAGCCCAGTTCATATCAAATTTTGCATCTGGTATGGGTCTCTCTTTATTTGTTGCAGGAGCTTAAACTCTTAATTCAACCACTTTAAACTGCAGGTGTATAATGTCACCAATAAAGTAAATCTAAAAATGGAAAGGAAGAAGAGTAAAAATAATTTACAAACTGTGTAAGCATTCTCTGGAAAATATGCATAGTAAAATCATTAACTGATTTTGATGCGCGATGAAAGCTTTATAAAAATACAATTATAAAAATGAAATAGCTTTTGGGAAATTTTAGCAAATCAAAACCTGAAAGAGTGATTGATAATCCAACAAAGATTATGGATAATAAATTTGCTTTCTCAGTTCATACAGAAAACATAAGCTTCTTTATTTAAAGTTTATATTGAAAACAGTTGTCTCCGTTAGCTCAGATAAACCCCAGTCTGAACGGCCCTATCGTACAGCCGTACCACGTGTCCTGGTTTAGCAGACTTAGGGTCTGCGCATTGGCAGCAAGCTGCCCATTGCTTCGGCTTATATTGATGCTGCAAACACAAGAATAAGTCCCTACAGTTGTGCTCTCAGTGCCTCACATTGACAGATCAGTGGAGTAACGTCGTATTTTTTGACGAATTTGTTAGAGTTTTCAAAGGAATCTAAATCTAAGTAAACTTATATAAGTATTTTTCGAGTTTGGGAAAGGAGGGTTGAGGGAATGATCTTCTACAGATGGTGAAAGTGGTGTATGAGGCAAAATAAGTTGAGAACCACCGGCTTAGATTATCGTAGTGGACGTATCCATGCGTGGAGGCAGCGAAGGGAGCAGATGTTAGAAGGCTGCATTCTTCATTATCATACAGGTCCAGCTCTTAGTCTGATGGTAAAGGGTGCCATTGGGTCCACTGGGTGCACATTTCTTTCACCCTAGTTCGATTATCTGGTCCTCACATCTGGACCAGCCAGCATTATATAAGAGATTTCAATGACAGCAGCTATATCAAATCTTCAAGACCTTCGTCACGCCTTTCAGCAAGACGACATGAGACAGCATTTTCGCTAACAATATCCTACATTTCTTCAGTACAAAGGGTGTTAGTCTTAAAAGACTGCAAATGATCTCGAAACTGAATTTAAATCCTAAAACCGTACTATACAGTCGGGTTATGCTATGTCTAAAATATATAGACGAGTTATCGCTCTCTGAAATAGTATAATAAAGACTTACGAAAGTTTTTAAATAACCTTCATTATTTAATCTTCAACTTGTAACATCAAAGGCACGACTTGTGCTACAGACAAGAGCCACTACTCGTGTCGATGTAAATTAAACAATAACAGTCAAAGAACTTTAAACGTTGATAGGGTAGTCTAAAACTACACAGGCAAATAATCTAAGCTATAGGCTGGTTCAATATTTTACCCGCTCGAAAGTTTAAAGTATCGGCAGCAAGAGAATGCAAAGCCGAGATCATTGCTTTTAGATAGGGTTGGCAAAATTGTAATAGAGCTACGCGAGTGCTAGAAAATACCTGGCTAACATTAAAAAAACCTTCAGTTTATATATACTAAAACTAATTTGCATTCTGGTGAGGAATACAGAAGGAAGAATTCGCATTAAACATTAAAATCATAACTGCTTAATTAACATGAAGTTAAATTGCAGTCTCCTGCTTCGGCTAGTGTGTTCTTGAGATATCTCACCAAATGAAAAATCTTTGGTGAACTGTTGCGGACAGATTAGGCTGACAACAACGTTCAACAAGTAATACATATGAACTTCGCCATTAAATTAGAATTTCGTATATTACAGTACCTATAACTGTGATCCGAACTATGTTAGACTTCATGCTAAGCTGTATAACAGCTGCTTCTGCATATTTTATGCATGGAAATGAACACTTTATTTTTAGGTAAATATGGGCTGAAATTTGAACCATTTTATCCTTCTATTATATGGTATTTAAAATAAATATATTTTTTAATTTTGTTAAATGCTTCTTTTTATAGTGTAGAGATTTCGATGTTCAGTAGTATACATAGAATGTATAGAAATGTATAAAAATTGAAGAATTGAAGAGGAAAAAAATCTTATAACAAATGAAAGTAAAACAACTTTTCCATGATACGCTAGTCTAACGAACATCTCTAAAGCCTCACACAGCAAGCATCTGGAACTCCAGTGCCCTTGACATATCGGAAATACCAGATAAATTGCTTTATAGATTGAGAATATCAGAGGAAAAAACTGTGATGAACTTTCAAAAAGATATGTTTAAAATAGTTTTGAGACGTGTCACTTTCCATGATTCCTAGTAACTTCAACAGATCGTCCCTTTTATTTAATCATTCTTTGCTCTGTTCTACCGTAACAAATCCTTGTGAATGAAAACTAGGCAAATTCTTAAACTTGGAAGATCTTCTCATTCATGAAAAATTTCTTATTTAATCTTTCACAAAAGTAATTTCATGGGTACAGGATCATTTATATCAGGCAAGTCTTTTCTTAGGTGAGTTTCACTAACCACGACTTTGTGCGTCAGTTCGAACTGAATGTGTGTTGAAAGAAAGCATAATTTTTAAAGATTTACAATGTGACATTAAGCTATCCTGTGTTATCCTGTGTATGACACTATATTAGTCTAATAATTATGAGTGTGTAATTTTTTCCGGCTGTACTCTTCCATTTGCAGAAGAAAAACAATATAATTCCTGCAGCATAATTTAAATCTTAGAAAACTTTAAATATTTATACAGTTAGGTATTTTTGCAATATGATTTCCAAATTTCCTTACATTTCTTTTACATTGATAGCATAAACTAACACTATTGAACGTGAATCTATTTCACTTCTAAGAATTACAGCTTGGTTTGTGATTAAACTGGAAACTGGAAGAGGCGAATTGAAACCGGAACTAATGAATAAAAAGATCTAAGAAACATCAATCGCACTTTATAAAATTTTCAGTGTACCCAGGCTTATCTTTAATTAATTATTCATATACCCGATATTATTAGGATGAATTTTTATACTATTAAATGATATTAAAAAATAAAAGACGATAGAAAAATTGTGAGTAAATTCATGAAATCCTCCTTCATGAGGGAACAAAAAATAAACGTATCTTATTCTCTTCCAAATTTTATGTGAATAGTTTAAATGTCGCATGTTCTAAAACTAAAATTTTATGTCCGAGGATTAGAAACACACATTACTAATAATTCTTTCAATAAATAGCGACACATTGGGCGTTATCGCAACATAATTATTTAGGTAACACAATTAAAGAGCAACTTACCGATATTTCATCCGCTGTTGGTATTATGGCAACTGAAGGAAGCTCAAGAGATGAACAGTCTTGAAGAACATTCTAAAAAATAAAAGGTGTGTAAGTACTCAGATTTGTCAATAACGGATATATATTCGAAATTAATACCAGACGAAGATAAAATGAAAATACATTGCAAATTCAGAACTCTAATCGAGTCGAATATCTATAGGTTCCCAAGAATTCATATTCCAAAATAGCTTCGTAAATTTCGTAATTATTTTTCCCAGTAAAAATTGTTATTCTGAAAGATTCTTAGTTAAAGAAATATTATTTAAGAAAATCTTAATAATGCTAATAGTAAGCGTATCTTCAAAAAGTAATTTTACTTTCGTTGAACGGGTGCAACTACATTTGGTACCCCGTAGTTTCGTACTAAGAATCCGTTTAAATTAAAAATGCTAGAATAATCCATCATAATTTAACAAAATATATATCTCAAAACTGTGGCAACTGACATTTGAGTTCTGAACAAGAACATAACAATGACAAATATACACTGTCTTACAGGTTTAAAAAGTTGAATTTGAAATTGTGTTATTAGGTCCATACTTCATTTTAACAATTAACAAACTATTATAATTTTGATAATTATCAAATGCATTACTCATTTCACAAATATATGAGTATAGACGATTGCGACTGATTGAAATGTATTCACGAATTTGACGAAGAAGAAGAAATAGAAGATTATTTTGTTGAACATCGGATATCAATAATCAAGCTCCGTCAGATACATAATCTCAACTTTTTATCCAAACGTAACCAATAGATCATACGAAAGACATTTGCTGAAACGCTGATTAAATAGGGTCACGATTATACTGTTGAAATTTAGTTCGCAAAAGCTCCAAAGTTCCATTACAATTTTTTTTTCCGAGATCAGCGAGAAGAATTTACTTTCGTTTGTTTTTATTAATGCTGCTTTTAATTCGTGAATTCAAGAGGCTTAACTTTGAGAAGTTCCGTTCAAATTTCATTTTTCAAACTTTGGGCAAATTTAAAGCGCACACGTGTGCTCTTCCACATTATTACAGCTGAAACAACCAATCTAGGCAACTATGTTCCAATAAACACTTAATTTCAATTTTTAGACTGGAATGGCTATTTATATAAATGTGTTAGTACGAATTCGTTCCGTTTCCCAGACGGTATAGTGGTTAGGAAAGCCTACTATGGTACCGCACGGCTCGGTTTTGAATCCCGGAAAAGGCACAAATATTCGTAAATGTATAATGTCTTCGCAATATGGCAGCACTCTAAATATATGGCGAGCCGAATGTCCTCTGTGTGGTTTTGTGGTAGGGGAGAGGGGCGGGAGAAACTTGGACCACCCTCCGGAATGCTCTACCTCAAAACTAGGGTTTTAAGTAGTGCCTGACTTCCATGTATTTCATGGGAGAATGGCTCTGGCAACCATTCTTCCATGAAATACATGGACAAGGCGACAACAACAATACTTATTACTACAACTAATATAAAAACAGTTTACCTTAAAAGTCCTCAATGAAAACATTACTTGTTTCTTTTCTCTTCGGAGAAGAGGTGGAAGGTTGGCACTTTCATACAATTAAAGCATAGCCTTAGGGCAAAAGACGCGAAATTTGCGTAAACAAATTTACCGCCATTTGTGTTTCAGCTGATATTCTACTCTCTCCAATTATTTCATTTTAAACGGAAAACTAAAATACATAGTTTAATCAAATATTATCTTAAGCAATGTCGATTAAAAATTTGCAAACCTTCGTGAATGCAGTGCGAAATGGTCTTATGATGAGTAAAGAAATCGATGCTACAAACTACTGATGGAATGCTTTAGGGTAATGGATATTGATGGAATGCTCAATGAAATTAACATTTGATGAAATTAACATTTGAAATTAACTTTGCATTGGAGAAGATGGGATGCTTCAGTTTTGTCAACAAAGCAAAGAAAGCATTTTTTGCAATTTTGGGGCTTCTTTGCGCTAGATATTAATTTGGGCAGCCCAATAGAGATTGTATTTAGAGCTGATTGCAGAATATGTTATTTGTTGATACTGACTAAGTGAAACTAAACTGATAGAAGCTTTACTTCTTCTTTACGCAAGCTAATATTTTTTTAATTACGTTGTACGCATATATTATCTCTACATTAAATGAGTTGCATATTTGTTCGTGTAGAATAACTTTGGTAGGCTTTTTTGTGTCTCCCAAAGCTAAAAAATTTAAATGTTAATTAGTGGTAATTATATTGAAATTATTTTCAGTACAGAAGGAAAGACGCCCAAATTCCTTCCTCCCAAAATAATGTAAAATAAAATAAAAATTAAAATTAAAAGTGAAAAAATAAAGGAAGAAGGTTTTTTGATTTCTGTCTTTCTGATAGATATTTAACTTGAGTGGTTCAAGGACACATTTTCTTGAAATAAAATGACCGACTTTCGTAATCCATAATGGCTCACGAAAATTTCGGTGGAAAGAATTTACTTTCGAATGGCGTCTGTTCAGTATAACTGTAGGATAGTTATAGTATTGGGATAACATTTGTTCAATATAAGCAGCATGTTTTCAAAATAATAATCTGTAATTTATTGAGTGGCTATAATTTTATAGTAATCATATCCGAGTAGTTTAATTTTAAAATTCTTTCGTTAAATAATCATTAGAGCAAAGCATGCATAGCCAGTTTGCTCTGAGATGAACAGAGATATTTCAAAAAAAATTTCCTAAGGAAAATTTGCATATATATCAGACATTCAGTATGGAACTCTTCACAATCTTCAAGATGCATGCCAAGAGCGAGCACTTATTATACAGGTGCTCATAAAAATAAAGCTTCCTTCATATGTGCCCCTAGTGATCGCAAAGCCTAACAAATCGAAATAAAATTCGAGATATAAGGATTAGTAATAATTTAAAATATCTTCAGTCGGCAGGAAATTTTCGCTGTGTTATGCGAATGGTGCAGTAAAAGACCACAAATGGCGTTGGAAAGGTACTTCAGAAATCTCGGGCGGAAGAATATTGGAAAGTAAAGGAGTGGAAGGACAAATGGAAAAAGAAATGTGACATGCAGCCGTGTGAGCACACATAACTTACATCATGACATTAAAGATGCATGTATGACGCAAAAAATTATGAACATCGATCACAAACTTAACTTGCTATTATCGATCATTATACATCATCTAAATATGATTTAGATATTATATAGACCCATCACACATGGTGATATCCGCTTCGGGTGAGTGATTAATGTCAAGAATTTTCTGCACTACACGTGCAGTGGGTTTGCATTACCGTAATACAAGTTATGTGACTCATATGTAACACGTTCTTTACTAGCATAAATTTAAGATGTCTGTCCTTTAATATGGTCTGCTAAAAACATAACCACTTTCGATTCATAGCCTGACATTTAAAAATGTATTAAGACAATGTATCCTTATTTATTAACCTCCACGCTAAAATGTAAGGTTTAAGTAAGTAAAACAGCCTCACATGCACTAAGTAATAAACTTCAATCTCCATAACCCACAGCACAAAAGCAATAAAATTAGAAGCAATTAATTGGCCAACGATCAAGGAAAATTTGCATAAAAAGTATTATATTTCATTCACAGCGACACATCATACCGGAAACCTTGAGCTGAACAAATAAAGTCATTAAACGTTACAATTTCTTTTTATATTTGGTCATGTAATAGATACTAATTTCTTTAAGAGCTGAAATCAATTTGTTGCGCCATTTTGTAAGTAAGGACGAGAAGGTTTCCCTCGTGCCGTAGCGAGAATGACCATCAAAACACTTGTTCCTGGGATCACCCAATTTTAACAAGCTATCGTCACACAAATCGCCTGCCGTCATCACTTTACTCTTTAATCCATCTTACCGACACGAAATTATTTCCGGGGAAAACCTTTCCATTGTTTGTTGATGTTCGCTTTCCGACACTGTTACACCAGCCCCAATGCCCTATTGTTTCGAGGTGGGGGCGGAAGAGGTGCCGGTGGTTCGCGGACGACCGCTTTCGCTTCCAGACTGTCCTCTAGGTTATGTAAAAGGGTCTCCTTGCGATTTCCGGGTTGGAAAACCCTATCATCGAATGCCAAACAAGTGTGTTATTAGCCATGCACAAAATGGAGATCGATTTCGTTCAACCCTCCCCCAGTGGAGTTCGAAAGAGATAGTACCACTTAGCTATGGTACTGTCAATATTAATATGATCTCGAGCAAAAACGTAACAACCATTAAAAAAGGGAAAAAAAATAATATATAAATATTTAGTATGACTTTCAGTTAAGGTATTATAATAGCTGCTAAAGCCTGTCGCTGGTTTTTTTTTTTTTTTTTTTTTTTTTTTTTTTTCATTGATATTGTTTCGTATTAACTTTAGGATAGGCAGAAGAGGGAATACTCATTGCCATATTTTCTTCTGCAATTTGGTACGGAATGAATAAGTCAGTTTACATTTAATGTTATTATTCAAATGAATTTCATTAAAAGAATACCTGAGTTCGATTCAGGAATAACATTTATTATCACATTACAAGAAGTATATTGTTACGAGCGTTAAATTTCAATTAAAATTTATCCTAAAATAAAATGAAATTTTGAAGTCTTTTCCATTTTTGCACATAATTTTATGCTCCCACCCTTTAACGCTATAATAATCAGCTTGTTTTCTATTGTAATAATTTTTGGCCATTAAAAAGTTAAGTAAAACACACACTTTTATGCTGCCATGTCTTGATTTAACGCTATAATAATCAGCTTGTATTATGTTGTATTCTAATAATGTGGATTAAAGTTAAATAAAGGACAAACATTTATGCTCCCACTTAATGCTATAATAGTTGGCTTATATTATATTGTAATAATACTTGTGATTTAAAATTAAGTAAAAATAAATTAATGGGAAAATTTATAACAGAAAAAAACAATGTTTACAATTTTTTTGGCAGCTGAAGTACGCATCTAGAAGAACTAATCATTGACGATTAATCCTTCCATCTGAAGGATCACCTGATCTCATTTTTGAGTGAATGAAAGTTGCTCCATAAATTCTATTTAAGCACTATCGAAAATCTGAAGAAGAGTACCTGACGTCGACAAAATGTGGTGCAACAGCAAGAATGTGGTGGAACATTCTGCAGATGAAAAACTTTAAACACGATCTGAATTTCCAGACATCTCAGAAAGGAAAAGTCTTTATTAAGTTTTTATAGTTTAAGTTTTAGTTTAAGTTTTGATATTTGTAAATTACTATCTCATTTTCAGTTGAAATTTATATGAACGTACACAGCATCCATTTATAAAAAAATATAACTTATATTTATAAAAAAAATATAACTCTTCTTCCACAGCATTTCCATTAACATGAGATATTTAAGAATTATTTCAGGCATGCCTCGTAAGATATGTTAAAAAATATTTAAATACAGTATATCTTTGGAATTTTCGATAGACAGTATTGCGCGTTGGAATAAAAAATGTTTTATTCCGCATAGTCTTTTGACACTGCTCGCTTTGAAATCATTAAGTTTCTTAATCAAAAATTCGCTAAAGTTTAAAAAGTATGAAACAGAAATAAAACAAATTCTAAATTCATGATTCGGGCTTTCAGGTGCCAATATTCGGGTGGAGGACTACTTAATTAAAAATTTGGTGGATTTTGATATCGTTGTTTTTTCACAATGCGAGAAACATACATACATTCATGAAGATACTTCATTATTTAATTTCTTTAAATATAATACAGGGGAATAATATTTCGTGACAACAATTTGGAAAGTGATGTAGCCCTTTTATAGTGATTCGACGCAAAATGTCGTTTCGAGACTAATAGCCCTTTTGGGATAACGTTCCTTTGGGCTAAAAAGTTCTTTTAACAGAAAATCCACACCATCTTTTTATATTTATTTTTATATGTATATATATATACTATATATATATATACTATATATATATATAGTATGATGTGCATATAAAATTTATCCTTAAAGATAAATTACACTTCCAAAATTGTCGCTTAGGATAAAGAACATTTGCTTCATATAATAATTCTAGATAAGAGTTATTCCAAAACGCTGTACCTGTGCGGTTCATTATTCGGAACGGCATCAGGTTTTCTAGATTTAAATTGTGAAAACTGTCTGTAATAATTTTAAGCGGCTATAATCACTCCTTCGATAGGATCGATAAACCTGTACCTGTGCGGTACAAAAACGCTGTACCTGTATTCCAAAACGCTGTATCTGTTATTCCAAAACGCTGTACCTGTGCGGTTCATTATTCGGAACGGCATCAGGTTTTCTAGATTTAAATTGTGAAAACTGTCTGTAATAATTATAAGCGGCTATAATCACTCCTTCACTAGGATCGATATTTCTATTTTGATGCCTAATACCTATTATATAAGTTTAGTTTAAAAAGTAACAATACACGATCTACATTATTTATAATATTTAAATATGCATGAATATCGCTTTTTTTTCCTACTCTATAATATTTTTCTTGTTTTTATTTTTTATATTTATATAACTGAAAGGTTATTTACCATTCTTGGCAAGAGTATATATATTTTTCAATTTCATCTGTGACATAAAATTTGTCTGAAAATTTTTATCATCTAAGAAGAAAAGGACTGCTGGAAAGAAGCAGGATAATATAAGAGTTTTTTGCACTCATTAATGTCAATTTTTTCACCTTGCAGCTTCTGTTGTATTTATTACTACACAATCAAATGCGTCTTTTAATAAAATGTGAAGCTATAATCACTTTGGATTATATCTAACTTCTCTGATACTTTAAATTATCATTCATGCCCTTTAACATTAGAATCAACAAATCCCAAAAGTTTCATATTTTATATTCAAGAACGAGCTGTTTTTCTTTCCCCTAGCTTGAGACAGTCGACAGACGTTTCGAACATGATAAGCAGAGAGTATATTATCACGCTGCTAGTTACGCTGATTACAGTTTGTTACGACAAATATTGGTACCAATAACTTATCTGCACGACTTACCAATAGCTTACGTGCATGTTTTCTTGGATTGGAAAGTCATGCAAAGCCATTGTGTTCTGATTTCCAAAGATTTCGGTCAATAAGTGCTGTTATTACAGCAGACCATGAATGGTTTTCTATATATGTTATACTATACAGAAAATAGAACAAAATTCCAAAAACGTAAATGTTTCAACCAAACACCATTAAAATTCTCTCGTTAAAGGAAAAAATACTGCTCAAAAAAAATTTTCACATTTGACCTTGAAGTAAGGACTGTCGTACAGTTCGCTAGCATATTCATTCAGATTGTTTTTTGTCCCTTAGTGATTTGTTTCTTTGTTAAATGTACATCTCAGCTTGATGTTAAATAACTGCTTTATGTGTTTCTTTATTTTTGATTAATTTTATACGATTAATTTTTCGTTTTCTCTTTTGTTTTTGCAAAACGTTTATAAAAAAATTACAATTTTTGTTTTAAATTAAAAGAAAGAAGACTAATTACCTACAAATACATAGCTTAATGGGGATATAGTTAACTTGGAAATATAGTCCAAATTTTGCTATCTGCTTTTACTGTGAATTGCAAGTTCCTTAATCTAACATTTAAAATAATCATTTTATATAGAAAAAATATTTCCATTGCAATTAGAGATTCACTGAAAACTCATACTTCAAAGCCTGCATTTAATTATCCTCTCCTCGCCCTTTCTAAAAAAAAAAAAAAAAAAAAAAAAAAAAAAACTTAAAGGTTTCAGATTTTAAATTACGTCCAAAGGAGCGTTTTTTTCAACGTTTTGTGTGTTACCTTTATTTATTAAATATCATGTTCGTTCGTTCTTAAACCATAAAATTCAGTTCAATAGCAATGTCGCAAAATAATTTTAAAATGAGCATATCTTTAGAATTTCTGATACACAGTTCCTTGCGCTGGAAATGAAAAGGGTTTTACCCCGTAGAGTGTTGGCATTGCTCGCTTTGAAATCCTTGAGTTTGTTAATAAAAAATTCGTTAAAATTTTACAAAATATGAAATCGATAACAAAACAAATTTCAAATTTGGTCTTCCACATGCCCATATTCGTAGGAGGATTACGTCATTCAAAATTCGATGGCTCTATGTACCGTTGTTTTATCACAATGCGAGAAATTTACGTACATTTATGCAGATTTTTTCATTATTTAATTTCTTCAAATATAATACAGGACTCTAACATTTGGTGGCAATAGTTTGAAAAGTTAAACGGACATTTATAGTGATTCAACGCAAAATCGCAAAACCGTCCTTCAGGGACAAAGCCCATTTGGACTACAAATTGCAAGTATTTTGAGTAACGGAAAATCAGATTGGTGGATAACTTTTACAAAATTCTCAGATTTTCGATTTAATCCAGGAGAAGTTTTATAATAGGTATAAAAGTATGAGGTATCATCGAACATAATATGAAGAAATAAATTTCGAAGCTTTCAAATGTAATGCATAATCATGGATCGTATGTATCATAAAAGCGCCGAAATTATTTTATTCAGTCTTTGGAAATATAGATAAAGCTGGTGTAACCATAGAAATTCTAAGCTCAAATGTTTCGTCCAGCAGAACATCCTTTTGCTAATTAAGGGATTTTTTTGAAATAGTCTTATAAAGCTGCTTCATCACCTTTGTCAGATTGCCGTCAGCTTCTTCATCGCTCTGTGATTTTTGTCAATTAAGATTAATAATTAATTGGAAATTATAAGCTAAGGATTTAAGCAAGAAAGCACATATTACAATTTATTTCGCATAACCTCTCGCAGTACTACTGTTTAAATCACCCAAGCTATTAGCCATCTAATATTTTCAAATAACTCCACCATTTCTTACTGTAACATTTCCATTCAGACGAAATTTTCTTCTGATAAACGTCGGGAAAATGGAACCGAAAACTAACAGATACTCACAAAACCTAGCTTTCTAAAAACGGAACGCTAAAGTAGTCGGTAAGAATTAATTTTCCAAAGAAAGGGGAAAATATCCATGCAAAAATTAGAGACTCACAGTCCTGAGGATGGTCTCTGCGCTACCTCTTAGTAAGATAGCTTTTGCTTTGAGCTCCTTGACAACTGTCCTTCTGGTAGCCAACCTGTCCTGCTCGCTCTCTCGTGCTAGTGTGGAACCTTGCAGTCGTGTTGCGTCCACCAAAGCGCACGGATTTTGCAGCTTCTCCGAGAAAGGTAACTCCGAGACGCGTAGAGTGCCTTCAGTGGGAAGTGGCGTAGCCGATACCGAATGGAACAGCATGGCGCAGCTCCAGAAGAAGGCGCACACCGTGACCAAAGAATAAAGAGTGGGTTGTTGGAGTACGAGCTCTGGAAAGAAAAGTGATTCAGTGTTTAAATTCCTGAAACAAATAAAAAGAAACTGCTCTGAACTATCTTAAGATTTGATGAAGCAACAAAATTTGTTATTCACTTCATAACAATGAGCTAAAAAATCAGACGAAAAATGCGGAATAAATTTTCCAAATTTTTCGTCTGATTTTTTATAAAATGATATATAAATTTTGAAAGAGAATATTATAATTATAGTAAAAAGGAAAACCAACAAAATCATCTGACTTTTTAAACGAGGATATTATATGAGGAGGAACATTAAAAGAAAATTCTGCTCTGAAGGAAATTGTTCTTCAATTGTTTATAATAAATACTGCATAAATACTGTAGTCCAGCATAAATAAGTACTGTAGTCCAGCATAATTAATAAAATACAACATTATTTATTTAGTAATTAATTAAAAATATTCAATTTACTTAAAACTTTCAACTCTCTACAAGTTTACCTTCTCCTGTTTCTTTTCTTAAAATAAAAGTGTCTAAGAGAGAAGGAATGTGAAAACTCCGGATTCTCTTAAATTCATGTTTAAAAAAAGTGGAGTTCAGAATATGTATCTATGACCCTTGCTTTTAAAGTAGAAGAATTAGATCTTGCTTGTTAAACAATGAAAAATTTTGAAATAAAATGTGCATTTTACATATAGCTGTCTTACGAACTAGTATGTCTTTGAACATTGTTGAGAAGCTACCTAAATGTATTTTCAAATTAAAATGCTCAGATGGTTGCCGCAATTTTATTTTCGATAGAAATATTTCATTTTAATAATTGATAGTTCTAATACTAAACTCTAAGCCAAAAAATATTTCAACAAAAAGATGTGCAAAATGACTTTTCACATTGTACAAGAGGATATTTCATGGGTCTGATGACAACTCGATTTAACGTATTTGGTAAAAACCATGCTGGTGCCTTCTGTGTTCTGTGGGTACGCTAACTTTCTGTTGTGTCTGCAGCAAATTCACATTAATTAGCACTTCAGACTTAAACAGCGACTTGTACATTATTTGCAAATAGTTCGAGAGCTATTTTAAGCATGACAATTAAACCAATAATTATAGTACTGTTCTTTCAAAAACTGTAATAATTTTAATTAATTTAATAAAATTAATTGCAATTCATTTAATACGATTAGTTTATTACAAAATTAAGCAGACATTTTATTTTCCATTCTTAATATGCTTTGAGAGATAACTTCCATTCTAAATATGGTTAATTCTTGTAAAAATTTCATTAGAGTCTTTATTTTAGGTAGTATCATCTGTACTTCCTCTCAACCGATATAAATCAAGTTTTCTATAACATTATGGAACTCTCAGAAGCAACCACGAGTTTTCTAAAAAAAAGATTACCCATTTCAGCCGCTCATTTTACTCAAAATTATCTGAAAACTGTGCAAGTTAAAATTCCCAATTTATCATATCCTATAGAATATCTTCCTCCCTCGCTTCGCGTATGTCAAAGAATTTGCTAGCAGTTCATTAGTGTTTATAGCTAAATCGGTTTATCTGATTCACCTCCTTGACGACATCCCCCCCGGCATGAAATGTAATTAGAGCAGATCTAATTACTTCACCTAAAACTCTTGAATGATGGCAAACACTAGGCACCTGGGTCAGGGGAAGAAAGACTGCACAAGCTTCCGCTACCTGGACTGATAGCTAAAGGGGAAAGCAAAAGCAGCACCTAATTTAATGAGAACTGATTACGTAAACATTTCTAGCGGCCATGGGATTGTGCTTACTGTCAAAAAATGACGAGCAATAAATACTATCGGCACTCCGAAGACAAAGGGTAGAAGACATACGCATGCGCAACTCCTTCATCACGGCACCCCAAACAAACACTCACGACAATCCCTTATGACTTTGGAATTTCCGAAGGTGAATGAAATCTTGGAAATTCCATTGAAAAGTTCTTACGTCAACATGGGGAAAGCAACGAGTACTTCGGACGCATGTGCGTCACTGACGCCACAGATGATCTGTTGTCATTTTCAGAAAGGTATAAAAATTATATATATGTGTATAAAAACAACTAAATGAAACAGGCCTACCCATTCACGTCATCTGAGAAGTATGCAATCATAATTTGCTTTCTTAAGAGATCGTTTAGTTGACAGACATTTTCAGAATGTAATTGGGAATTGTCGTAAGATTATTTTGCCAGCCAGACATTAAATTTACTAAATAATCAGGGTCCAGAACCTCACAAGAACTCAGCCAAAGATATACCATAATCTTCAACATCGTTAAGATAAATTGCTTATTTAAATATACTGATTAATATATAAGTAATATTGAATTTGCTTCGTGTAATAAACATTGCAGTGTAAGTAAGAAAATATTTCTTTGCTTTTATTAATAATACAGGCAAATTTTCATTCAGTACCAAAAATGTTTCACGCAAAAATCGGCTAGAAGAAATAAAAAAGAATGAGACTTTTTACGAAACTTTTATATTCTACTTTATAAAATATATTCGTAATAAAATATATTAACATTTTGTACATTTTACAATAATGAAATAATGAAAAGAAATTGTAATTTAAAATGCAGGCAATGAAATGTAAAATTGATAATATATATTATTTGAAATATATAACAGAAAATACAATATTGATTGCATAAAAGAACTAGTTACTTCCATATACTCATTTAGAGAAAGTCGGGAAGAAAATCAATGAAAGAAATATCCCCCACGCATTTCTTTCAAAATTACTTTTAAAATATTTAATTGCAATACCTTAAAATATATTAAAAATTCTGCTCAGATTTATAAGTTTTCTAAACTTTGATTTGTATTTATGGTCAAAATATTCTAATTAACTAGCCAGGTTGCATACAGAAATATATTTTTATAAATTTAATACATTATTCCCCGAATTCGATAGCCTAGGTAAAGAAACGAAATATATTTTAAAACAAAAGAAAGACTAAAAGAACATTTGAAAGATTTCCGATTTTAACATCGCATCAGAGGATTGTTTAAGGTTTTTTATGTTCTCGCTGAACATCGCAGGTTACCAATCTGCTTTTGGACTCACTCCTGCTAACGCAATTCTCCTTTCTTTATTATTATTATTATTATTATTATTATTATTAAGCATCGCTTTCTTCACATTTACGCGACATAAAACTCAGCAAAATCACAAAATATTCAAAAACTGCATATCTTTAGAATTCCCGATAAAGGGGTTTCCATGCACACTTTTATATTCGCTACATTATTTCTTTGAAAACTAGCTGGGCGAACTGCCAGCCGCCTAAAAGAGTTATCACAAAAATATATAATCATTTTAATGAGTCCAATTAATGGCATTTCATAAAAATATTTAATATTTCTAATTAGACTCTAGAGACATTAGGTATTTTTGGAACCAGGCAAAATGAAAAATTAGCAACGCCTGCCCCGGGAATCGACCCGCGGACCTCTCAATTACGCGCTGAGCGTGCAGACCACTACAGCACGAAGGCTCGCTAAGAAGGCGGGAGAAATACCTTATCAGACATCTCATGATTTGAATGCATTTTTATTTAAATCGATCAAATTGAAAAGTATTTTTATTTCTTTTGCTACCCAGTAACAGAAAGAAATTTGAAAGTTAAATATTTTATGCTTTACTGAACGGCAACACATTGTTTCGTGGAAAAAATACGTATTCTGTTTGAAACAGTGGTAGCATATTATTTTTAAATTGCTGAATTTGTGAATTTAAATTCGAAGATAAATATCTTAAATTTTGCCGAATCCTGCAGCGTTGGATATAAAAATGTTTTATTTCCAATAGGTGTTGCCAATTCTCCCTTTGAAATCCCTAAGTTTGTTAAATAAAAATTCATTATGTGAAAAAAATGTCTGAAGGCTTTGAGATTTATTGCGCCCCGAGGAGCGTTTCTTTAACGTCTTGTGTGTTACCTTTATTTGTTAAATATCATGTTCTTCGCACTTAAATCATAAATGGACGTAGCCTTTCCTGGAGCTCAGTTGCTGTGAATTATTAAAAAAAATCTTCAAGCACTCTAAATTTCCGGCATTCCCTCATTAAGAATTTAATTCACCGGAATACATATCTATATTATTCAAAACGAATTGAATATCATTACTTAGTTATTTAAGTTCGTGGAAGGAAACAGAGAAATTCCACTTGTTTCACATAAATTATAAAATAAAGAAGTTGGATAATTTTTCTTCCCAAAATACCTCCATTTTTTTAAGTTTCTCGTCCGTTTCTAACAAGTCATCATTATAAATATGAAAGAAAACGTGATCTTTAGGAATGATTGAAAGTTTTCGTTCTTTATGAAGCGATATTTTCGAAAAGTGTCACGAAAACAGCTTATTGTAGCAAAACACGCAAACATAATCTGTTCTTAAAAAAAGTGTCTGTGAAAGTTAAGAGACAGAAGCAAATTGATTTTCCTTAAATGATTCTTCATACAGCCATCAAGATTTTGAATGAACTTATTGTAATTATCGCTAGCATAATATTGGTAATTTCTGTTTTGAGATTTCATAGTTAGTTGATTTTTATATCATAAAAAATAAACAAAATCCAAGATAAAGGGAAAAAAAGAAGAAGTCCTAATAAGATCTAATAAGTCTTTTGATTCTAAATAAGATCACTTTTTAGGTCTACACTGTGGGGGGGGGTGAAAGACACTTCTATTCTATTTATATAATGGGCCGATTAACGAAATTCAACTTGCGTTTTTCATGTCTCGAAAAGGCGACTTAGGATATGTATTAGATTTATATATAGCATTCTTCTAATGCAGGTATTTTGACACAAAATCGAAATTTTTCTGAAACAACATACCAATTTTTTCCCATATTTCGATTCTGCGAATCAAATTACGCCAAACTACAAAGTTTCGTAAAAATCACACGAGTAGTTTTAAAATATTAACTCTCAAAATTTTAGCCCCTCATTGTTAATTGAGTTTGGTATATATATATCTCTGTTTTTATTAAGCTTATTTGATTCTTCCTTTCATATTACGAAATTAA